AGGAAGTTATTGATGCAATGAATCATTTTCACCACAACTGCCACATGGTTAAATCTATTAATGCCTCTTTTATTGCTCTGATTCCTAAAAAGAAAGGCGCAACCGAGCTCAAGGATTATAGACCAATCAGTCTTATAAGCAGTGTTTATAAGATTGCTTCTAAACTTTTGGCTGAAAGGCTTAAAACAGTCATTGGGAAGTTGGTATCGGGGAGTCAGAATGCTTTTGTAAAAGGGAGACAAATCACAGATGCTGCTCTCATTGCAAATGAGGCACTAGATTGGAGACTTAAGAGTGGAGAGCTAGGGTTGTTATTTAAACTGGACATTGAGAAAGCTTTTGACAAAGTGAGCTGGCCATACTTGCTCACAATTCTGAGGCACATGGGCTTTGGGGAAAGATGGATAAGATGGATCAAGTTCAGCATCACTACTGTTAAGTATTCGATCTTAGTGAACAGGGGTCCAGTGGGTTTCTTTTCTCCACAAAGAGGTATCCGACAGGGCGATCCTATCTCACAGTTCCTCTTTATCTTGGCCATGGAAGGGCTTAGTAAAATGGTGCAGAAAGCCAGTCAGTTATAGTGGATAGAAGCTTTTAAAATTGGGAGGAATGTTGGGACTCAAACTGTTGTATCTCATCTACTTTATGCAGATGATACACTGATTTTTTGTGGAGCTGAGAGGTCTCAAGTGATCCAACTAAACCTAACTTTGTTCATTTTTTAAGCTATTTCAGATTTGCACATGAACATGTCGAAGAGTACCATTTATCCTGTTAATGAAGTCCTAAATCTGGCTAAGTTGGCTGGTATTATGGGATGTAAAATTGGTTCATTTCCATCTACTTATCTTGGTTTACCTTTGGGAGTAAAATTTAGATCCACTGAAATTTGGAACGGGATCATAGAAAAGTTTGAGAAGAAACTTGCATCATGGCAAATGCAATATCTTTCATTTGGAGGCAGATTAACACTTATCAACAGTGTATTGGACAGCATACCAACTTACTACATGTCTCTATTTCCCATCCCAGCAAAGGTTTTGAAGCAACTTGATAAGCTAAGAAGAAACTTTCTCTGGGAGGGCAATAATGAACGACATAAATTCCACTTGATCAAGTGGAAAAAGGTTACACAACCAAAAACTCAAGGGGGGTTGGGAATCAAAGATCTAGCAGCACACAATAAAAACATGATGATGAAGTGGCTGTGGAGATACAATATAGAGTATTCTGGGTTCTGGAAAGTTGTCATCAAAGCCAAACATGGAGAGCTAAATCACTGGTGTTCAAAAGTCTCAAATGCCCCATACGGTGTGGGATTATGGAAAGGCATCAGCAAATTATGGAGTACTTTTGCTCAGAACATCCACTTTGAAGCTGGGAATGGTACATACATCAGATTCTGGAAGGATAAATGGCTTGGAAACTCTACCCTCCAAGCCGCATTCCCTAACTTGTTCACCATAGCCCAAAATCCTAATGCGGTTATTGCTACATATAGGGAAGGGGTCAATTGGAACTTGAAGTTCATAAGGGACATGCATGATTGGGAAATAAACGAGTTGCTAGACCTTTATGCAAGACTACAACAAAGCAATGTTAACTCCCAAGTAGTGGATAGACTTAAATGGGGGAATCATGGTGGAGGCATCTACACAGTCAAGGTGGGATATCAACAGATGTGTTCTAGTAATCCCATGATAGATAACTGGCCCTGGAAACTTATTTGGAGAACCAAGCTGCCACCAAAGGTTATCTGTTACACCTGGACAACATTATATGAGGCATGCCTCACACAAGATAACCTGATGAAAAGGAACTTTCAGTTACCTAACAGATGCTACATGTGTCAAAAGAAAGCTGAAAGTACCTGCCACTTGCTCCTACACTGTGAGGTGGCCTCAGACATATGGTACATGTTTTTTTGCCTTTTTGGTCTCAAATGGGTCATCCCTTACACAGTCAAGGACGCTTATAAGAGCTGGAGTTTATGGAGAGTTGATGAAGCCATCATGAAAATCTGGTCAATGGTCCCTGCTTGTATTTTCTGGTGCATTTGGACAGAGAGAAACAAGAGATGTTTTGATGGAAACTCAACTTCTATAGGTTCTTTAAAGGCTATGTGTATTGCAAATTTGTACTGTTGGTCTAGACTCTACCCTATCAATAATATCGATCATCTTTTGGATTTCATTAGTTCCTTAGCTCTGGCTTAGCCAATTAAGTATAGAAGCCAGGATATTTTTTGTATGCTCAAATGCCAAATCATGTACTTCTTGCTTCTTCTGGATGCCATCTATTGAAATCACTTACTTTATCAAAAAAAAAAACCAATGGTTGTTTTAGATGAAAAAGCCAGAATTGAGATGAAAGTGATGTAAAAAAAGATATATGTCCCTTCCCTAGGAAATTATAGGGGATACATCGGATGGGGATGGGGATTGGGACTTTCCTCTTATGGCTTGGTCAATCCTCACCTCATGAGCTAGCTTCTGGGATTGAGTTAGGCTCAAGGTCCATTTCTTTATCATGGTATCAGAGCCGGACCCATCCCAACTCTCTGTTTCACCGATGTTGGGTCCCCATATTGTATTGTCCACGCTCCAGTTGCAGGCCTGGGCGTGCATGGGTGTTGAGTCTCCCACATCGGATGGGGATGCGGGACTTGGTCTCCTTATATAGCTTGGGCAGTCCTCACCTCATAAGCTAGATTTTGGGTTGAGTTAGACTCAAGGTCCATTTCTTTATCATTTTGAACATATAAAGGTTAGTAACCCTAGATCTGCTAATGGATGCCTGAACAGTGCTTTCTATGGCCGAGCCTCTTCCATCTCTTCTTATTCCTAAACTTCTACCACACCCATCAAGAGCCAAGCTCCCCGCGACCAAACCCCAGTAAATTTCCCCGGCAATCGAGCCCTCACGCGCCGCCAACTCGCCTGTCTTTCCGGCGAGATCCTAGCCACTCGCCGGCGCGTGTGGCCTTTTCCGGCGACTTTTCAAAAAAACTTTCTTCAGACAGCCTCTTCTCGAGGCATTTCCGAGCCATCCCGTGCAAGTTTCACCAAATTCTGACGACGTTTTCTTTTTCCGGCCTTTAAACCCCAGATTCTGACGTTTGTTTCCTTTGTTCAGTACGAGAAAACCTTACTCCCTTCTTATATACTGTTTTCACCCACTGTGAATACTGTTATTCCAACTATTGAGGTTTTTTCCGGCCAATTTTTCCGGGACAACCGCATTTAGAATATGATGGATTGTACAGAGAGAAGCTCCTTTTTCTCTTTAGAATCTAGAAAACTGGAAAACATGTCTTTTATCAAAGCTGTCTCTTGGCCAGCCCTAGAACTTGGGGGAAGATGCCATCGAAAGCTCGACGTAGGACAGGAGCCGCACTTCTCGCTGTCCGAGGAGCACACTCTCAGGCGCAAGGGTTTCTTGGAATCTAGTCTCATTGGGTCTTTTCTCCAAATGGATTGGTTCTCCGGAGGCTGTTAGGAACTGGGCAGCAGAGGTATGGAACGTCAAGGACGGGCTGAAAATATCGCAATTGGGGGACACTCAATATCTCTTTCGTTTTGTTGACAAGTCTCAAGCTTCAGAAATTCTTGTCAGAGGAAACAGGTGGTTCGATGGGAACTTTTTAAATCTAGACAGATGGGTGTAGCATGATGGGTGTCTTGGCCCTCGCTTCACTGGCGAAACATTGGTGGTCAACATGGTGGGTCTCCCGGTGCATCTTTGGTGTCTTGACCTATTCAAGAAGATAGGGGAAATCTGTGGGGTTTTTATTGATGTCACTTGCAGTTTACATGATCTCTCGCGAGTGAGGATTGTGGTGAGGAAAGGGGGCAGAATCCCTGTCTCCACTGTGGTGGAAGATGGCTACCTGAGTTATAGGGTTTGGTTGAGCCCTGAATTTCGCCCTATCTTTATGCCTGTGATAGCGACGGAAGAAAAGGGAAGGTCAAATAGAAGGGAGGGGAGAGGAAATCAGTCTCTGAGGGGAGGGGAGGGCTCACCGGATCACTGGATTAAGCCGGAAGCAAACGTTAGATCGAAAAGAGACGGGAGGTTTGAAATTGGGGGAGGAAGACAAAATTATAATAGGAGGAGAAGACGTGAATGGGTCAGTGAGGCGGGCTGGAAAGGCAGAATGAGACGATCCTCTTCTACTTATCATAGGGCCGGGCAAGTTTTCAGCAAGTATAGGCCTGGGCCTCCTCACATGGGCCCAGCAACTTTCCCCAATTCCATTAGAATTGATCCTAAGGGGCCCAGTTTATTTCAAGCTACGCATGATAAGGCTCCTAAGCATATGGGAACAGTCGTTCCTCCTTCCTCTGGCCATGGTGCTTCACACAGTGGCACTCCTTCACCGAGCTCTAGTGACCTGTGCCCCTCTACGATGGCCGCTGTTGCAGGGGCAGAACCGGCTAAGGATGGTGCCGTTAATCCACGGCGCACCGCCTCTGATGCATTAGCAGACCTAGGGTTGAGTCTCCCACATCTTTAATGAAATCTTATCGTACCTGATAAAAGAAAGAAAAAAAAGGAACATATATATGTCCCTGCTATGTATAAGGTTAGTTTAGAGCAGATCCAATAGTTACTAGAAATGGCCAATACACACACTTACATCTCATCTGTGTTTTGAATTTTGAATGAAATTGCTGAATGTCTTGTGGCTTTTAGGTTTTTTAACATAATTTATACTTTTAGAAATTCACTTTTTTTGTTGCTACATTTTTCTTTCTTGGTTGTCTATCCTATAGTCTTGAGCCGAGGGTATATCGGAAACAGTCTCTCTACCTCTCCAGGTAGGGGTAAGGTATTCGTACACACTACCCTCCCAAGACCCCACTTGTGGGATTATACTGGGTATGTTGTTGTTGTTGTTGGTTGTCTATCCTATAGCTGTTGGCAAGGAACCAATGAGGACTGATCACAGTCTTGTGTTGTACACCACCAAATTTATGCTACTTTTTAGCTCAGTTATCCTGCTTGTCAAATGATTATAATCCAGTTTTTTAGCAAAGATGACGGATATAATTTCTGGTTCCATTTTCTTGTGACTCAGAATAGATGAGAGAGACTAGAGACGGAGTGAGGGTTGACAAGTTTTCAAGTTCCGCATCTGCTGACTCTGATCCGCTTGTTCTTGACATAGATGATTTCAAGGTGACGCCTCAGATGTCATATAATGTGTATGGAGGATTATGCCAACTTAAGCTTTAGAAAGTTGGTAGTTAACTGACAGCAGCGTGTTTTACCCACTAAATGCAGGGGGAGTTCTCCTTTGACGGCTTGTTTGGTAACTTGGTGAATGAGATATTACCTTCTTATCAAGAAGAAGAATCAGATGCAGCTGAAGGCCATGATGCTCTACCAAATGGGAATTTGCGGACACCACCAGATGCGGGAAAGTCAGCACAAGGAATGTCAAGTCCGCTATTCCCTGAAGTTGATGATTTATTATCTTTATTTAAGAATTCGTGTAAACAACTGGTTGATCTCAGAAAACAGGTATAGTAAAGGATTATATGTGGATTCAGTGAGGTAATACTGTTTCTGAAGGTTTTTTACTGATGCCTTCATATTTGATCAAAGATTGATGGGAAACTTAACAATCTTAAGAAGGAAGTTGCTGTCCAAGATACAACGCACCGCAAGACACTTTCTGAGGTTAGTTCATTGGACTGTGGTCATTATAAGATGAAGTTGTAGTTCTTTTAAGGGAAACCTTTTTTCTGGAAATAGTTTTGGGGATTAGCTCATTTTAGTGCAATCTGCTCCTTTAATGGAGTAAGTTTCTTGATAGAGCAAATAAATGACAAAGTGCTGCCGAGGTAACATTTTAAATCACAGTATGTGGGGAATGTTTTCGATATACTTTTTAAATTTGTTTTATGAAAATGAGAATCGATCCACTTGGTCTGTTGTTGTCTCTTTCTTCACTTTGTACTTCTAGGGATATTAAAAAAAAAGAGATGCTTTTTACCTAGATAAAGACCTCAGTTTAAGTTTGATGAAAAATGCAATGTGCAGCTGGAAAAAGGTGTAGACGGCTTGTTTGATAGCTTTGCACGGTTGGATTTGCGTATATCTAGTGTGGGTCAAACAGCTGCCAAAATAGGAGATCATCTACAGGTATAGCAGCTTAATTCATTCTTTGCATTTTGCAAGTCTTGTAAGCACTTGTTTTGATGCTTGATTAAGGTTAATTTCGTATGATATTTTAGATAAGAGCGGGTTGCTCTAGTGGTAAGCACCCTCCACTTCCAACCAAGAGGTTGTGAGTTCGAGTCGCCCCAAAAGCAAGGTGGGAGTTCTTGGAGGGAGGGAGCCGAGGGTCTATCGGAAACAGCCTCTCTACCCCAGGGTGGGGGTAAGGTCTGCGTACACACTACCCTCTCCAGACCCCACTAGTGGGATTATACTGGGTTGTTGTTGTTGTTGTTGTCGTCGTCGTATGATATTTTATGTTAAAAACAATTGGTCAAATGAAAGTGTTTCGTTATGGCCAAGTGCAAGTTTGTTTGCTTCCAGAAATTCCACAGTATCCTTCCCCTTTTACTTTGCTTTTCTTCTACTAATAATGAAATGCCTACTTTTAAGAGCAGAAAGAAAAAGAAATTTTTCCTTAAGACCTAACTCCATTATTTTGTCCATGTTGATTAATTTCCTGAGCTGTTTAATACTGTTAGTATGTCTAATATCTACTGAATCTCTGTTTGTGTCCAGAGTGCAGATGCTCAGAGAGAAGTTGCTAGTCAGACGATAGAGCTCATAAAGGTAAACTTTTCATGACTAGCTTCGTGCATTCGGCAAAATAATCCTTGCATGTAGGGCTATTCTAGTTTCTATCCTCATTTGGAAACTGACAGTGTAAGTTGCTTTCCATTTCATAGTACTTGATGGAGTTCAATAGCAGTCCAGGAGACCTGATGGAACTTTCTCCTTTGTTCTCTGATGATAGTCGTGTTGCTGAAGCTGCTTCAATTGCTCAAAAATTAAGTAAGATCCATATGCTTCCTTAATATTCTATGTGGTAAAAATCATACTTTTTTTACCTAAAAATTCTTTTACCGTGATCATTTGAGCTGTCAATTGTAAAGTCTAACTCCTTGCATTTATTACCTAGTAGCCAATGTATAAAGTAAGGGGTCGTTTGTATCATGGGATAAAAGAAGAATAATCCCGGGATAAGATAAAATGTGGGATTATTTAAGCTCGTGTTTGGTTGGATGTTGTTTTTCTGGTATAAGCAATCTTGGGATTAGTTATACCACAATTTGGGTATTATTTTTATACCACATTCAATATAGGATAACAATGCTGGGATAGCTAATCCCGGGGGCAAAACAACCAAATGATAAAAGTGCCCTTCTCCAAAGCTCTTCTCCCAAAGTCCTTTAAGAAGGCCAAGATTAAAATTGGTATGACAGTTTATCCTAGTTTATCTATTTTAAAACCGAACACAGGTTTTATATCATATCCCATATATCCCTTTTTTAATCCAAAGAAATCAAACATCTATTGAAAAGAGTATATCCTCTAAATAATGCCGTTATTATATGATTCCCCCTATTATAATCCCAACATTATAATCCCGGTATAACTTGTTGTTGCAAACCAAATGACCCTTAAGAAAATTAGCTGCTTCTGAGTTTTAAGCCTCTGTATCTTAATCATATGTCATTTGGCTTTTATCTGTAGTCTTATTAATAATACAGTTTATACAGTTGGCTTCCGATGTGGAGTTGTTATATCAGTGTCTTGAACCTAATCTCTGTATTCTCTATGTATCTCGTCTTCTTCCTCATTATTTCCTGTTCAGTTCCCTATTTTAGTTTTCAGCTATACCCCGAGCAGCCTGGAGCTGGGTCCTCTTTTTCCTGTCTAGACCCTGATTTAGATATTTTGCTTCCTTGACTAAGCAAAGCTAACACATTGTCTTCTCATGAGGTTTTCATTGACATAACATCTAGTATCTCTGTATTTTAATCTCATAATCATGGAGGAAACTTTATGAACTATAAATGTTTTGGCCGGTGCCATAAAATGTGTAGCGGCTCGCATTCTATACATGTTTTCCATTACTTAGGAACATATCATATGTATGACAAATGACATAGCAGAATAGCTGACGCGAATATCCTGCTGCTCTGTGCCCTTTCTAAATTCTTTTTTGAGGGCTAGGAGGGGCATTTGAGAGTGGTTTGGTTTGACCGTTGGATTTTGCGTGTCCCAGTCAATGACCAATTGTCTTGATCACTATTCATTCTCCTCATCGCTTGTATTACTTTAGACCTAGGTTTTTAATATCTTAAATATACTGATGCATGCACTTTGCACAATGTTCGTTTCCATTTGAGGAGGATATCTTATCCTTCACTTCTGTGCTGTTCCTCTTTAGATAAAACAAATGGACTCGACACTGAACTCTTTGTTGGTATACAAGAGTGGAACAATATTGTATTTTCTGGCTGCAGTTATGTTCAACAATATTTTCAAGGGATTTTCATGTTAGGACTTATTTTCTTCTTTTTCCGAAGATTTTTATGAAGATTATCTTTTGACATCCATACTATTTCAGGATCATTTGCTGAGGACGATATTGGAAGACAAAGCATGACTATCTCATCAGGTGTTGGTAATGCAACTGCGAGTAGAGGGCTGGAAGTTGCTGTTGCCAACCTCCAAGAATACTGCAATGGTACAAAATTAGCAACTTATTTATCCATCTACCACTTCTACTTGTTGTATTTATCTATCCTCCGTTATACTATCCACCTTTCAGAGCCCCTACCGTTACACTTTGGGGTCAGATATACCCTTATTTTAGATGGAGTGCCACGTGTCACTACCAGATTAAGTTGACCCATCCCCTTTTTCCTAACCCGGTTCATTTAAAAAAATCCACTACCCGACCCAAAGTCCACCCTCACAGCTTCTCTCTCTCACCTCTTTTCCTCCTCTCTTCTCCCTCGCCTCACTGTGATTTCTTCTGAAACCCATCAATTCAATGCTTAAAATAGTTAATACAAACTGCAACATTGTTCTACTATCGTCTCTCTCAGGTGACAATTCTTTGCAAGTCTATTGTCCTACTATTAATTAGAAATTAATACTTAGGCACGGACATAAAACCAGTATGTATAACCCTTTTTTTCCTGGACATATCACATTGGGAATATCGTTCCAATGCTTAGGCTAAACCAAAATTTTCAAACACAGTACTTATTCCAGCTGTCTAATTGCAAAATCAAGATTCAAGCTCTCTTAATATCTAACAGTGGAGACTATTTCGAATTCAAATTTCAATAAGCAGCTAAATGACTCAAGCTCTCACTCTGTGCCCTAAGCCTTCGAATAGTGCTCCTTACGGTAACATCACTAGCAGTGTTCAATGTGTAACCACCACCAGCTTTCACTTTGCTGCAGTCTTTGCAACCCCAAACATCAACAACTTTCCTCTTGACGGATTTGATAAATAAAAGGAAAACATGAGAAAAGAGAGCAATGACTCGCCAGAAAAATGTATTTCCGGTCAGATCCAGTAAAATCTGGAACCGAAACTTTCAGATCTCCGGTCTCTTGTATGTATTTCTCCAGATCTGTGTGTAAATGTGTTTGTAGGTATAGAGAAAGGGGAAGAAAAAGTGCGAGGTGACAAATCTAAAGGTTCTCCATGGTTTCCGGCAAGCTAAGTTGCTCGGACACGGGTGCGGATCTAGAGGTCGGATCCTTTGAAATGTAAATTCTAAGATTCGGGGATACAGATCCTAGTACGGATCCGGGTGCGGGGATCCAGCTAAAAATAATTCAAAATAAAATAAAAATTAAAAAATATCTCTAAATTATGATAAACTTTATGGAATACTTACGTATAGCTTGTAAAGTGTGGATTTCTTTTTTATTCTCAAGTTGTAAACAAGTAAATGATTGATTTCCTAAATAAGTTATGTTATTTTCTTCAAATTTACGCTTGTTTTGGTTATGATTTCGGGAATCAAATTGTATCTTGTCTCGAATTTTTCCGTCCGTCGTGGTCAAAGTACCCAAAATTGTTTGACAAGATCCGGTACGGATCCCATACCCACACCCATACTAGTGTCGTGTCGACACGGGTGCGGCACCCAAACTGCCATGTCGGAGCAACTTAGCCGGCAAGTTCGCCGGTGGACATTCCGGCCATGGTTACAACAGTGAGAAGAGAGGAGGAAAAGAGGTGAGAGGGTGGACTTTGGGTCGGCTAATGTGTTTTTTTTAAGTGAATCGGGTTAGAAAAAAAAAGGGACGGGTCAATTTAATCTGGTAGTGACACGTGGCACTCAATCTAAAATAAGGGTATATCTGGCCCCGAAGTGTAACGGTATGGGCTCTGAGAGGTGGATAGTATAACGGAGGGTATAAATAAACAATTTATGAAAGTAGAGGGATATATTTGACCCTTTTCTATTTTATTAATGATGGAGAATTTCCGTGTACAAGCCGTACACAAATAATAGAGAACCTACACACACCATCTTCTATACAGCGAAAAGATACTAGGAACAAGAGACTATTTTTTAATGTTACAAAATCAATTTCAAACCCTTCAGATGAGGGCTAATGGAGCAACATCCCATGCCTTCAGTCTTCTTTTCCCCCTTCTAAAACCTCCATTGTGTAATGCCTCCTTCACTGTTCCCGTCATCACCCGCTGTACTCCAAACCAATCTAGAACCACCCACCAGAAATGTGCAGCCACCTGACGATTTAACGGAAGATGGTCTACGTCTTCACCCAAATATATGCACATGGTCCACCAATTGATATAAGTGATCCCTATCTCGCAGGTTTTCTGCTGTTAGTATCACTCCCCCTTACTGCGAACCACATGAAGAAACAAACCTTCATAGACGCCCTTGGGACCCGAATTGATAGGTGTGGGAAGCTTGATTCCTCTCTCACTAACTTTGGTAGCAAGGCTTAACCATGAATAGACCATCCCTGC